ACAATCTGCTGAATACTTGAGGGCTGCTCTGCACCTCCTCCTGTGCGTCTTCTCCTCACCACTACTCTGCTCAGCAAATTCTAGCTGTCGGTCTCCTTGGGCTTCAACTCTGTCTCCCTGCACCTGCGTCCTCCTTACTCACTTGAAAACTTCCTCAAGTGTGCAAAGTACTCTTCATCTCATTGCTTTAAGCTCTTAGAGATCTCACAGCTACTGTCTCTTTTTCCCTTTATACATTTTTTCCTCCTTTTGCCTCTTCCAGCTGAAGGTTAAATCTGGCCCTAATTATTGTTTCACTTTGGTCAGGGATTTTGCTCAGTGGTGCCACCACCTGCTTCGCAAGCACAAGGACCTGAGTTCGATTCCCAGTACCTCCCCACAAAAAAATGATTTCATTTTGGCTGGAAGAGGATGTCCCTGCATTGACTATATTATCAATGCCATTTCTTGTGTATTTTAAAGCATTTTAGTCTTTATTTTGCTACTGTCTCAGAAGATTTTATTTCCTATAATCCCTTGATTTAGGAAGTTTTCATATGTTCTCATAAATCAGAGATCCTCGTATCTCCCTCATCAAAGACCAGACAGTTGATTCTGTGTGCTCCCCTGTGGCGGTCCGGCCGTCACAACACGAACGTACCTGAGTTGGGGAGTGAGGATTGAGAAAGGACAGCACACTCAATAGTGTGGAGACAAGAGGTTCGATTTATTACACAGAAACAGCTCCTTTTAAAGGCAAGCCAACAGGAAACATCAAGCAATATTAGGGAGGAGATCAAAGGTCAAACTTAACAAAGTCCTTGAGCCGGGCGTGGTGGTGCATGCCCGTAATCCCATAAAACTAGTCTGGATTACAGTGAGCTCCAGGTCAACACCCGTAATCCCATAAACCCAGCCTGGATAATCCCATATGCCCAGCCTGGATTACACAGTGAGCTCAGCCTGGATTACACAGAGAGCTCCAGGTCAATCTCATCTGCATAGCTGAGACCCTCATCTCAGAAAAGCCAAATAGAGTCACAGATTGTGTCAATGCCTCAATGGTAGAAGTTACTTTTCCAATGTCAAATGCCAGCGGGCTCCCACACTCCCCGATGCACAGTGAAGTAATTTTGTTTTCATTCGTCTTTTGTGACATATGAAATCTTTATCTTTGTCCCTTGGGATCTTGCTCTGAGAACTTCCACAAGTAATTCTAAGTAGAAATGCGAGGTTTATAAAATTTTTATTTTAACCTATACCTTGAACTTTGTTCACTAAAGCTCTTACTTGCATTTGTAAGTGTTTTGGTAGCTAATTAGTAGCAGCCTGCTAGCTTCCTCAGCCGTACACTAAACTTCTTCTAACTGCTAATAAAGAGAGAAAAGATTATGATGAAAGAATGTATGAAAATTCCTCTCTCACTTCTCTTGTCTGTAATTGCAGCTTTTTTTGTTTTGTTTTTGAGTGAATTCAACCTTCTGGTGGATTTATTATTGAAATTCCTGGAGGTCACCTGTTGGAACAAATGATATCTCAATGTTCCTTTCTACAATTCCGCATAACTCTCATCCTCCTACTACTTCCCTTTTCTAAGAAACAGGTAAATTGTGGATGTGACAGAACTGTCAAGAGCTTTTATAGGATTGTTTTTCTATTCAGTGAGAATGTCATTTAATTCCAGGCAAGGTGGTACATGCCTGTAATTATAGCCATGTAGGAGGTCAGACAGGAGGATCACAAGTTCCAGGCCAACCTGGGCAACTTGGCTAGGCTGCCTCAAAATAAAATTTTAAAAGGGAGGAGGATTTGTCATACTCATAGAACATTTTCCCAGCATGCGTGAGGTCCTGTGTTTAAGGCCTCAAAAAATAAAATGGTGTCTTACCATTTAAAATTATTATGACATTATGATTACATATCTCCTAATAAATAATAGCATTTATAATATTTTTATGTAGTGTTAGGATTTTCAAAAGGAACTGATAAACATATGAGCCACTGCCAATATCTAGCTGTTGTGAATTGTGCTGCTATAATCATAGAAAGAAAACATGGTATTTATACACAATGTAGTACTACTCTGTTATAAAGGATAAACTTAAATCACTTGTAGAATGGATTCACCTTGAGACCATAATGTAAAATGAAATAAACCATGGAAACAAGATTAAATATGATATGGTTTCTCTTATACGAGAAACCCATTTAAGTGCAAAATAAAAGACATATAATAGGAAGTAGGGAGATAAATATTTTGCAAAAGGAAAGGGAACCACGAGATGGGGGAAGCAGGTACAGATGGGAAAGGAAAGCAATGAATAAACAATTCAGACGTGCTATATACATGGGCCAACTCCCTACCAGCCTTGTAATCATTATATACTGCAAACATGCACTAATAAAAAAATTGAAAAGAGGGGCTGAATTGTTAGAATGTATAGATATGCATATAAAAATCACATAAGGGGACTTATCAGGGTGGTTTGTAGGATCAGGATAATGTATAACAGCCATCTGCATGCTGGAGAGGCAGAGGACCCAGTCAGTAGCTGCTCAGCCCAAGAAGCTGGAAGCTGCAGAACAAGATGCACCAAGGATACAGCCCGGCCAGGCTGCTGGCTTGAGCTTGAGCTCCGTGGCTAGTGTGCATCCACTTTGAAAGGAGGAAGAGGCCAGAGACTGACATCCACAGGTCGGGACAGAAGCAAAAGGTCACCTGCTCAAACAGAATCAAGCTTGCCAGGGTGGCTGCCTTCCTCTTTCTTCCTCTTTTCCTTCCCTCCCTCCATGCTGCAAGTCCACTGGGCGGTGCCCCGCACACCCAGGGCAGGTCTTCCCTTCTCCATTCCTGGCCTACCATCATCCCTCTCTAAAACACCTCCACAGACACACCCAGAAGTTCGCTTTTCTGGTCTCCTAGGCGTCTCACAATCCAATTGAAGATGACAATCAAGATTAACTGACTGAAGACTTTTACAGGCATCAAAACTCAGATGTTGACTAAAAAGGAAAAGAAATTTGTTTTAGAAGCAATGTTCTTACCACTAATTTACCATAGGAAACTTTCTTCTACTTTAAACATCACTTGATATGTAAATCCAATAATGATTTCTTCACTCTTATGTTTTGATATTTCTAGGATAAATATGCTTTGTCATACTTAATAGAAAGCATTGAGTTCAAAGTAAAAAGTTTAAATTGACAAGATATAGTAATTTTTATACTAGTAAGATATTTTTCACTATCTCTAAGGCTAGTTTCTTGTGGAATTATTTTATTAAATGTTTAAATGTTTTCTAAAAAAATTTTTGATCAAACTATTTATTTATATATCTAATGACATAATTAGCATGACTAAAAAGGCTTAATTCCATTTCATCTCAATATACATATGAGCAATTGCTATTCAAAACAGTATTAAAATAATCTAGTTCAGCATTAAATTTTTTCTTAGATATTTTAAATCATACATTCTGGGAAACATTTAAATGGAAAAAATAAAAATGTAAAGAGGGTTACTTAGATTGTTCCTTTACTTTTATTCAGATAATATCTGCAGCATTATTAAATCTTTAACACTAGGGTTGTTAATTAACCTCAGTAATATTCACATTTGCTTGTATTTGTATTCAGGCAATGCCAGAATCCTTCTAATTTTAATATTCTATGAGTTTTATACTGTTACAATGTTAAAGGATTCACATACAGTGTGTAACTGGAAGAGAATGACAAAGTACTCAAGATAAACATATCAGTACATTCTCAACCAGTAGACTTACCTACAAGGAAGGCCAACATGGAATCATAACACTGCGCTTAGCATGGAGTTAAGAGTACCGGGGTTAGTGGGATAATTTTGATAGCTTCTGTCAAACTATTTTGTCTTGGTTTCTCCAGCTCCTGGTAGGGAAGATCTGTTACATCTACAGGCAGGGACATCTGTTCCTGTGTACATTGACGGAGGTTTCGTATGAAATTTGGATGTTTCCTCCTCCATTCTTTACCCTTAAAAACATACCAGTGAAATCCACTAAAAGAATAGCAGTTTATCAGTTATCTTCTGAAGTTTAACATGGTGCGTTTTAACAATGTGCATTACAGACAGGTTTTCCATAGACTGGTTGCATAGTTTAAAACATGATGATTTTCCACAAAATTATTGGAGACTAAATAGATCAAGTTTTTCTTTTTCTCTTCTGTGTTGCTAACTTGAGTCTCTTTCCTTCCATGATCATTGCGACATAAAAATGTAACAGGAAAGCACTGTTGGTAACACGTTCAGTAAGAGCAAGTGGTATTGAAGATGAAGCAAGAGCACTCTTGCTGGTCTTTCAAAAAAAAATTTCCACCCTCTAATACTGTTAGAATCAAGATTTCTCCTTGATTTAAGTGCATTATGCTAATCTGGCTTCAATAGCATATTCAGAATGTGTTGATTCAGAGCTGAAAACAGTCATAAGCCGTGATTGTCTGTTACTGTATCTTATAGGTGCAAACTTTCCTGGCTAGGTAAATTACTTCATATTGCAGAGTTCAAATGGTGATACCTGTTTATACCCTTTTACTTAGAGTCCATTTCTGTCTAAAGAAAGCATGGAGGGATTACACACTATGCTTAGTTTGTATCCCTTCACAACCTGAAGTATCGAGAACAGCAAGTAAGGTTTAAAATCCATAAATTCAGGGAAACATGAGTTTTGATCTCTCAGAATGACAGAATAATTCTACTCCAAAAGAGCTCGCCTAAAGACAGAAAATGCGAAGTCCAAACTGGGAGAACTGAATTGAAACCCTTAACAAGTGGCAGGCTACTTACTAGCTACATGACTTTCGAAGAGCTGCTGGTCTTTCCTAGAATACAGTTTCCTCAGTGTTTAAAATGTAGATAACACTAATTATGCTCATGTAAGAACTAGTAATGGGATATAGAGAGAACATCTGAGATATTAGTTCCTGTTTCTACTGGCCATTCTTGGCTAGGCTAGACCTGCTTTTAACCTGTGAGGGAACAGGAAACGATGTCTATTAAAGGTAAGATATCTATCTATCTATCTATCTATCTATCATCTATCTCTATCTAATCACAATCTCTCAACCCAATAAATACAGCACACATAACTGAAGAGAGGTTTCACAAGATAATATTCATTTATATTACGTCCCAGGCATTGTGTATTACTGTTTACTCCCTGTCTCATCGAAACTTGAGCACCGTAAGGGCAGTAGGTCTATAATGATGTTAGTGCCCAGAGAATAAATTTCCTGATGATACTTGAGAGGATGAATGAGTTGTAAGTACTATCACACACAATAGGCTTAAGATATTGCTTATTTATCCCACAAGTCGAAATTACTTTCATAATTATTATCACCGTTGACCTTAGATATGCAATATGCATTCAAAGAACGTCATGTTCTTAAATTTTCATATCTGTTCCTTCAGTTTTGGGGAAAGAAAAGCAAAAGCAACGGTCGAGTTTTGCTGTTAATGTTGTGGTGACCGGGGCCTGGGGGACTGGATTTCCAGTTCTAGGGAAGATGACAGGTAAATCTTATCACGATGTTCATGAAACCCAAAATATTAGAGCCATGGCTGGGTGATTCTCGGGAGTCCAGGAGTCTTGTTCCGGGAGGAAGAAAACCGCAGCGTTTTTCTTGAAAGGTCTCCTGATGGAACCGTGTTTACAGCTTCCCTGTCAGAAGCCAGGGGAACTTTTGCCCACAGACTCCACAGACTCGCACAGTCTGTCTGCTCCGGGTCTCGGGGCTCGCGGAAAGGGCGCGGCGGGCTGGCATCCGCTGTGGCGCAGTTCTCGCCTCTCACCGGGCTGCGGCCGGGTCGCT